TCTGGGGTCGCGCAGCCACGACCCCCATCGTCTAATTTTGGCGGCCGGTTTGTCCCACGACAGACTCGAATTGATTCTGTCATTCGGCTTGCACGGCGAGGCGAGGCCAACTCCCGACTTTCGTGGAAATCCGTGCCAATAGTAGAGCCTGTAACGCGTGGCATCGTGACTCTTCCTCGCGCGCAGCTTATGATTAGCCTAGACCTCGCTTCCAAGGAAACGTCACGACCTTTCGCGTGAACTTATGTATATCGAGAGAAAGAGCGTGAGGGAGGGGGAGGGAGAGAGGGGGGAGAGATCGAATACGCTGGCTCCGACTGAATGGAATTCGCGAGATAGGTAGCAAGACGATTTTAATGGTTGATGAACTTTTTGCTTGTTCGTTGGTAAGACTGTATATACACTATGTAACGTAACATGTTCTATGGCTTGTTGTCAGTAAATCAGAAAGAGAAACGATGTCGTGTGAAATAACATTTTCGTGTTATACAAGGTGGTACGATGTAAAACAGGTTATCTAGTTATCTTCTCTAGCTGTGGTTGTACGAGAACGTTTTTATACGTAATTTCAATGGTTTCAAAGGGTGCATGAGATGGAAGAAAAATTTTTTTATAAATGCAATTTTTTTCTCTTTTTCTCTAAGTAATGTACACTAATGTACACTACAATGAAAATTTTTATGTAAACTGCAATGCTCAGTGATTCGAAACTTTTGCCCGGTAGTGTATGTATTTTGTTCTACTGTGTGTTCCAGCAAACATCGACGTGCATTTATATAACCTTAAAATGACTTTGGACTCTAAAACTTTTAATCTAGGATTTTAATAAATTTAAAATTTAACAAGATTTTTCGCCGTTTCTTCTGTCAAAAAAATTTCTCTTCCATCTTATTCACCCTTTGGAACCATTTAAATGACATACAGAAATTTTTCGATAATTAGGTTACCCACCCTGTACAGCAAGTTCTATGTTACCCATCAAGTGTCGGTGAAGATAAAAAAAAATTATAATACGTATTAATTTTTATAGCGAAACCAGTGTGAAACGGTTATAAAACCATGTGTTTCGGTAATACTGTATTTTTCTTTTTTATACAGTGTAAACGCAGCTTTATACACGGAATCAGTTTGTTCTTTCTGACAGACAGAATGAGTGGTCACTCATAGCCTATTCCCGAATACTTATTCGTGAGACTTTCTTTGGGCTGTCACACTCATGAATCACATCGACGAATGAGCGATAAGACGTACCTATTCTAAGTACATATGTATGTACTTCGTTATCGCGTTCGCCTTCCCTCGTGTACTCGACCACGTGGTAACCCCATTTGTACGCCATAGCGTTGAATGCCATTTTTGTGTAACGATGAAAGAATATATACGCGCGTATGACAGGTTCTCATAATTGCGCATCAATTTTAAATGCTATTTAACTATGGAATAACAGTGGTTTAAGAAGGTAAAGATGCGAACAGCAATGGAAGGTTTCGAGACGAATTGAATTTTGGCGGGAAAATTGAGAGGTAAGGGTGTGAATATAAAACAACTATCGTACGTAATTTTCACCCATACAAATATTAAACGAACGAGATTTAAATTAGAATTGTACGCGAATCATTGCAGAAAGTGAACGATTTTTCCAAATTTGTATTTTATCGTTGTTTACATTTTTCGCAGTTCCAAAGAATTTGAATTTCCCGCACTTTCGAAAGAATTATTGCAAACCTGTGAATTGTCTGGACGGACTTGCCGAAAGGTTAAATATGTATAAAGTTCAAGTTTAATGTGTAACCTAGCGTTTCAATATTCAGAGCAATTGTGTAATTAGACGTGCGAGTTGCGCGGAAACCATCTGATAGCAGGACTTTATGACACGTAGCGTCGCGACGCATCGGACCATTAAGTGCCGTGGACCCATTGCGGGAAAGTAGTTTGACGACAATATTGGCTCAACAAAGAGGCACACACATTAGGAGCAATTTTTTTTAAACAGTTTCGTAGAACAAGAGAGCAAAATAATAGAAATAAAGCTAAAGTGTGTGCGCCGAAATAATGTTAAGCGTACGAATTAATTACAAACTTCAATGTTTACTTGCAAAAAATCGAACACAATTTTAATATTCTAAAAACAAATATGGCGGTTTACAGCCGATAAGTTCGTCAAGATTTTGTGAACAAATGCATCGAATTAATTTTTACACCTAATATTTCGTAGTTGTTAAATTATTCGTACTAGGACCTATGAGTAAGTTGAAAAATATCTTCTGTAATTTAATACTTTTATAATTTATTATAGAAACTAGCCTTAAAAGTTTCGAATTTTTAATACTCCAAAAAATGTAGAACAATCTGACTAAAATGTGACTGTAAATGTCAATAGGAAATTTGTTTTATATTTTTTAAAACAAGTGTCATTTAAAATTAAATAGACCTAAAGTTATAGTCAATTGGAAACTTCTTCTTTGTTTCGCCTTGAAATGAGTTTAAAAGAAAATAAAAAAATATTAATATTTGAAATAAAATGCTTAGAAGAAAAATTAGTATCGGTATACAAGTCTCTCTCTAAAATTTTACCATACATTTCATTACTCAATTCTTCAAAGAAAAAGAAAGAAAAAATTGTTGAAATTTGAAGAAAAATGAGTATCGAGAGTTTTTTCAAAATAGAAAATTTTGTCATATTTTTCGTTAACTCTCACTTGATTTACAGAAGACATAATTTTTCCCAATTCATTTCGAAAACATACATCGTTATAAATCACGTCTGTGCTTAATAATAATATTTCTGCACTTTTCAGGAAATTTCGCATTTCGCGTTACATTTCAGCACAGATCGTCAAGCATATATTTAACGTCACCCCATTGGACAAGAAATCCAAAAAAAAAGAACGTACTCGAGATCAAAAGATTAATCGATAAAGCTGCAAATCCGTAGTATCAATAACAACTTCAAAGAAAACACACGCAAAATCGTTTGCTTCGCATCTCGCACGATGCATAAAGAATTACACCATCCACCGTGTAATTTAAGTCAAATTGGATTTGCAAAAATTTGTGCCACGGTTGATGAAACACTGTACGCAGTTCGTGATGTTCCCGTATAAACGTTCAAAGCTCTATAGGCTTCGGTACACGTGCATCGAATAAACAAGCTACGTAACGCAAACGAAATTCGTACGAATTGTTTCCATAGTTCGGCGAAAAGTGAATGCACCTTTCTTACGTTTTGTTTATTGTTAGATCGAAATAAAGTTTCGTTCAAAGAAATTGAATTTCACCGGCTGTTCGTTATTGTTAGAACGAATGTTTTTTCACGCTGTTAAAGGTAACAATCGTTTCTGGTACAAATTTCACCGATGCGAGGGTAATACAATTATGTACGATCGGACGTGCTCGATTTTACCTCGTTCGTAATGATTAAAATCGTTAGGAATAAAATAGAGAACGTGTTTTAGATGAACGAATTCATCCGTAATAGACCTTAGGCGCGATACAGTACGATAGAACTCGTTAATTGTTCTTTCGTGCAGAAATGATAGTTGAACTAGTGGTTTCTACGATATATTAGTCATTCCAGTATCTCGATACTCGATAGTGAGAGATGTAATACATTCTCGGTAATGTAATCTATAGGTATCTAACGTTTGTATTATACTGCTTGGCCAAAGGATTTGGCATTCCGGATGAATTGGACTGTAATGTAATCCATGTTACTTTAATTTGAAGAAGAATGTTCCCAGGAATGAAGAGATCGGAAAATTGAACGAAAAATTTCGACAATTTATCTTTTTCCTATTTGCAAGTATGATTGCTATAAATTATGAATTGAACATATAGAAATAATTACTTTACCGTAAAGACTGTTTTATAAAGTCAATTTACATAAATCAATACGTTCGAATGTTCTCGAATTAAAAATCAGTAAAAATTGTGGAGACACAAAGTTCAAAAAGTTCTCCAAAATCATTCAGTAACGGAATAAAACATTCAATCGAAAGAATTCCTTAAATGGTCAATTGCAAATAACACAAAAATTCGATATTATTTAATCGATGTAATTCTATCGATACCAGTGAATAATAAGTTTGTAACGGGAACGAAAGAGGACAGCGGACACTCACTGACATTGAGATACTTTACCCTTAATCCTTTTGTAGGCAACCAAAAAATTCACGGTGGTTTCAAGCTTCGATATTTAATATTATTCAAGCTTCAATAAATTACTTTATTAAAAATCTCCGAAAATTTGAGATCTGGAGCGATTTTGCCGCATTTTCACAAGACCATAAAAAACAGTTGAACGAAAATACAGCAATGTATACCGGGTTGCCTGCACAAGGGCTGAATCGTCAATTACAGCAACAATTACCGGCAACGACAAAAGTTCATAAAGGAAGAAAAGAGAACAGTGAATATTCACAAAGGTGCATCAGCCTCGACCCTTTTGTAGGCAATTTCAACAAAATTTTTTACTTTTCCCAAAAATCTCGAAAAACTGAAGATCCGGAGCAATTGTTACCATACTTTTCGCAAGACTTTCAGAAATCTATACCTGATTGCCTGCACAAGGGTTAAATCGTGAATCACAGCAACGCGTATTCCACCAAGCGACGAAAAGTTCGCAAAGGAAGAAAAGAGGGTAGCGGATACTCACTGAGACACGTTACCAGGTCGGAGGGTGGCCGGTATCTGGTACTCGGGGTGTAGCACGCCGGTTCTGTTGAATTCCTGCACCCTAGTCGGTTTCTCAGCGCCGAAAGGCCTTGGGCTACCTATCGTCCTGTATCCCTGTTGCTGTTGCAGTTGATGCTGCGACAACTGTTGTAGCTGTCGCAGCTGCAACTGCTGCTGTGACAGCCTTTCGCAGAATGCGCAACCGGTGTCACGGCGCGCAAACACTGACACAAATACGACGAGGAAGCCGAGTGGAAGTGCGTGACGCATCATGATGACCGATTTTTCTTCAGCTACGGTGGAAAAAGAGACCTGGGATGAAGGGCGACAGCGACGCCGCCACGTCCGTCGTCCAGTGGCGAACGAGTTCGACTGTGTGTGCCGAACGGTAGACGATGCCACTACGGCGAGCCGAGGCTGCTGCTGCTGCTGCTTGTGAAACCACGCTAAGACGAAACGAAATAACCCCTCTTCGCTTCCTACCGAGGCGACTTCGTGTTTGCCCCATCTTCTGGAAGGAACCCTCCTTCTTCTCCTCGTCCTTACCTCCTTTCCCTTACTCTCAACCCTCCCTTGTCCCCCACAACCTTACCAAACGCGTATTCTCGTTGTTATGTTTTACCCGTGCATGTGCTACCTCGTAACCACGTGTATATTTACGTGGGTGATCCCTGGTTCGAGGGAATTTTAAGGTAGAATCGAATACTCTCTCTGTCTGCACTCTCCAATAATTTCTCCGTCCCGATTAACACGAGGTCCGTGGAAGTTGCCAGTGTTAAGGGGTAGTTCGTAGCTTTTACTTTTGCAACACTTATCATTGGTCTTCTCTCTTCGCTCGATCTGTCGGTTTCGTCGTAGGAAAGGGTTAAACGGTTGTTTCAACTAGAATAATTGGGTAATTTTCTAGGATCGTCGTACGGTTGGTGTACCGTCGCAATAGAAGGGGAGAGACGACGGTTCGTCGTAAATCGATTTACTACGGTGAAGTAAAAAATTGTCAAGCGACGAACGTTTCGATTAACGGTTAGAAGAATATACGAATCTCGAGGTAGTGTTACTAGGAGGCAGGTAATTGTCAATGGTAAATCGTATTCGGAGTAAAAGTACCGTTGAATAAAGAGAGCGGCGTCCTTGGACGAGGAAGGAAGAAAGCAAATCGTTCTCGCTACCTACGCGGAGGATAATGCCGGGTGACATAGATAAGAAAGAGGTAATAATTAACTGACGGCGAGAGGAGCGGGTATCGGGCTGCATAAGGTAAAACAAGGTAGATAGACGGTTGCAGAGCGGCATCAAACGAGGCCTTCCTGTTTCGCTGGGGCGCGAGGAAAGAAGGAGCCGATATGGCGCGAAGATCGTGCAGAAAGGGAAGTTATATACGGTACGCTTCGCTGTATCATGGACCAACCATGGGACGATGATGACAGCAGGTCTGGCGGGTGGCAGGCCAATAAATCATGGCCTATAGTGTGGGAACCTTTGCTTATATGCTCCTCTCTGCGTGTATGGGGTATGCCATCGGTAAAACCTTTACTCCTGTGAGTTGATCGCAGGGTGACCGTACGTCGTACGTGCATGTAACTCTTTCTACCTTTCTCTCTCTCTCTCTCTCTTTCTTTCTTAACATTCAGGATCGGTTTTCTTCTCTGTTCGGGATCGAGAGGCTCTTCACGTGTGCGCAGAGCTCGGGCCACCGCCCGCGTGTAGCAACACCACGATACTAAACGTGCTCGTGCAACGCGTTGCGTTTTCTGTGTAGGTGTGTGCGCGCGTGTGTGTACAGTCCTTATGAATACATCATGCTACATTGTTGCCGTGAGGAGCACGATGGATCCTATGTAATCAGTAACGGTGCACCGGTGTATCGAGATCAGCCTTTTTCGGTAATCACTTCTTTACCGATGTGCTCTCTCACAGCCCATGCCATTCAATCGATCTACCGGTATTGTATACTCGAAAGCCTACCGTCCATAAACGGCCGACACGTCTGATGAAAAAATGACTATCTGGAATGTTTTATCGATGGTCTGATAATGTATCGAGCTTGACACTGTCAATTTCTTCTTCTTTTTTTTCCTTTTTTTTTTGGTAAATAATGCGGTGAGTAGGACTCGGATCTCCTGTATTTTTGGTTTTGTCGCGTGAAGTGTTTGGAAGTTTGAAAATTCGAAGTTACACTGTTTTTGTACAGTTCGTTATGGATATTATCAAATATGCACTGTAGCAGAAAAAATTACTATTTGGAATGTTTTATCGACGTTCTGATAATATATCGAGCTTGACACTGTCAATTCTGTTTTCGGTAAACATTGCGCCGAGTGGACTCAAATTTCTTGTATTTTCGATTTTGTTGCGTGAAATGGTTGGAAGTTTGAAAATTCGAAATTACGCTGTTCTTATGCAGTTTGTTACTTGTATTGTAAAATATGCAGTACGGCAGAACAAATGACTATCTGGAATGTTATATCGATATTCTGATAATTAGACTGTGGATTTTTATGCAAATTCATATTTTTACCAATATAATTAAAAAAAAACAGAGGCTAGATAGGCAATTGTTTTATTCGCTAAATATTACAATGAGTAGGTACTATACTTTGGGTATATTTATATATTTTTCTTTACTATTGCATTCTGTGTACTTTTGTGCCTTTAAACTTTTCATAAATGCATAAAAATTCGTAGTCTACTGATAATATATCGAGCTTGACACCGTCAGTCCTGTTTTTGGTAAACATTGCGCCGAATAGACTCGAATCTTTTACACTTTCGATTCTAAATTTCGATGAAATTTTGAAAATTCAAAGTTATATTATTTACAACTA